CGTTAGACAAAGGGAATTGTATACGGAATTGATTGAGTCCTTGACATCATGGTTCATCCGATGAGATCATCGTGGAACATGTGGGAGCCAACATGGGTATCCAGATCCCGCTGTTGTTTATTGACCGGAGAACGTCTCGGTCATGTCTGCATGGCTCCCGAACCCGTAGGGTCTACACACTTAAGGTTCGATGACGCTAGGGTTATAAAGGAAGTTTGTATGTGGTTACCGAATGTTGTTCGGAGTCCCGGATGAGATCCCAGACGTCACGAGGAGTTCCGAAATGGTCCGGAGGTAAAGATTTATATATGGAAAGTTGTTGTTTGGGTTTCGGGAAAAGTTCGGGTTTTTCCAGTATTGTACCGGGAAGCTTCCAGAAGGTTCCGGAGGATTCCGGAGGGGTCCGGAGGTCCAGAAATTGTTCCACCACGTCCAATACAGTAGCATGGGCTATAGGGGGGTGCCCTAGCCTTAATGGGCCAGAGGCACCAGCCCCCCAAGGCCCATGCGCATGGGAAGGGGGAAACCCTAAGGGGGCGGGCCTCCACTTGACTTGGGAGGCACTACTCCCCCCTTGTCCGCCGCCCCCAACCCTAGATGGGATCTAGGGGGTCGGCCCCCTCTTCCCCCCACCTATAAATAGTGGAGGGGTGGGAGGGCAGCCGCACCCCAAGTTCTGGCACAGCCCTCCCCCTCTCCCAAGTACTCCTCCTCTCTCGCGGTGCTTGGCGAAGCCCTGCAGGATTGCCACGCTCCTCCACCACCACCACGCTGTTGTGCTACCGCTGGAAGGAGTCTTCCTCAACCTCTCCCTCTGTCCTTGCTGGATCAAGGCATGGGAAACGTCACCGGGCTGTACGTGTGTTGAACGCGGAGGTGCCGTCCGTTCGGCACTAGGATCTCCGGTGATTTGGATCACGACGAGTACGACTCCTTCAACCCCGTTCTCTTGAACACTTCCGCATAGTGATCTACAAGGGTATGTAGATGCACTCTCCTTCCCCTCGTTGCTGGTTTCTCCATAGATAGATCTTGGTGACACGTAGGAAAATTTGGAATTTCTGCTACATTCCCCAACATGAGCCGACAGAAAGAAACGACCGGCATCCCACGCCACCACCTCGAAGCACACTAGGTTGATGCCCAGCAACATGCCCCCCGAGTGCCCGACCGCCGGCACCCAATGCCAAACAAAATGCTCTAGCGGGTCGACGGCTAGCAGATCCCGATGGTTAAAATCAGCCATGATAGTTTCCTGCAATCCTACTACGTCGATCCCCTCTTCCTGAATGAACTCTTTTAACTGGGTCCGCCTCCCAGCGTGGCCGAAGCCTCGGATATTCCAGAAAATGAAACGCATTAGATTATGCGGTTGCAGAGGCGGATACCGCGAGCGGTTACCGCTTTGGCCACGCGCCGTGTCTTGGCAGGACGACGGTTGGAGGGGGACGGCGCAGCCCCTGCTGCTATGTCCTCCTGATCGGGCCGCACAATAGGCACCAGAGAAGCCCCTGCTTCTTCTGTTGCTGGCGCAGCGCGGGCCAATGCTGCCTGAGCAAGCGCGGCCTGCGCGATTTCCTTAGCACGAATAAGAGAAAGCACTTCGTGCGCTTCCCCCTCGTCAGACATCTCGACGCCGCTATCCGCTAAGATCCCCCCAAGCAGTCATCAGAATATTCATCGAAGATCGTAAAGCGGGGCATGGGATTACCTTCTGTTTCCAGGTTCTTCTGAGCCTGCAGGAGTTGGGCACGCTGGAGGGCGGGAAGGTTGCCCTTGGCTCCCTTCGGACAAGAGCTCACCTGCTCCTGCGTCGCCAGGGACGCCACCACCGCCTTGGAACGCTTGGCCGTGGATATGGGCGCCACCTTGGACACCTCCGCGCGAAGCGCATCAGAGGCAGGAGGGGAGATGACCGACGAGGTGCCGCCAACTGGACCCCCAGGGGAAGCCAGCGCCATCACCACCGGCCGCTGCGAGGCGGGCGTGCCCGCACGGACCGAAGGGGGGCTCGCCTGTGCCACCGCGGGAGCCTTGCAGCCCGCCGGCTTCTTGTGGAGCCTCGTCCCACCGCCACCGAGGCCGGATGCCGCCTTGGGAGAGCGCGTCGTGAAAGCCCGAGGCTCACCCACCTCCGCAGCCACCGGGGAGACGAGCATCGAGCGCCCCTCCGAGTCGCAAGACGCTGAGACCCCCTTGTCGATGTCGAGGCCCAGCGTCATGTTGGAGCCGTACTGGTTGAAACCCATCTCATTGCTGCCCACCACCACTTGACGCTCCTCCTGGTCTTTCGCAGCGCCCACCGCCGGGGGCGCGGCCTGTGCGTCCTTGTCCTTGAGCCCAAGCTTGTCCCGAGTCGCGGTGTCGATGGAGTCGTCCCCCATGCTCGTGTCGTGGTCCTTGTCTTTGTCATCCGGCCCCTTGTCCACGCTGGCTGGCGGAGGGGGAGGGGGAGCCGCGCCCTGCAGGTCACCCGCCTCGGCCTCCATATGAATGGTGAAGCCCTCACTATTGAACCACGCTTGGACGTACCCCCTGAGCTTGGCCGGGGATCGACACGCGAAGCGCATCCGCACTGGGCCGAGCCCCGAAAGTGACGTCTGGTCCACCTCCATTGGACGCCCGATCATCACCATCCCAGCCATGAGGCGATCCACGCGGCGGTGCTTGGGCGGCACACCCCACAACTTGACCCACACGTCCGGCATGATCTCAGCCTTGGGCTCCTCCGGGCGCGATTCCTTGATGTCCGCCATGATGTTGTTGAGGGAAAGGTAGAGCTTGCCGCTGCGGGTCGCCATCCGCAGCATGGCCATGTTGGGGAAGATAACCAAGAACTGGTCGACGCCGATGGCCGTCACCCGCCAATCCCACTCCCCTTCGAAGAGGTGAGGGAGCTCCGCCTCCAAGATGGGGATCGACAGCGTGTCAGGCGCCGCCGAGATGATCGCCGCATCGGCCACCAGCGGGGCACAGACCTCCTCGCCCTCCGTCTCCACGTAAGGAAGGCAGAAGAATCCCTCGCCGGGGATGGCGTTGCCCATGATCTGCAGGAACAGAGGGCGCCCCCGCGTGGGACAGTACGCCGACGCGTGCCCCTCCTCATGGCAGACGATGCACAGGGGCTTGAAGTGGCACATATTTTGGTAGTGCCCCACCCTACCGCACTTGAAACACTCCGGCCCGTCGGCCTCCTCCACTGGGATCGGAGCGTCAGCCGACCCCTTCGAAGCCGACGGCCCGGCCGTCAGCTGCAGCGGCACCGAACCGGCCCCCTTTTGCTTCTGCTTCTTGGCCAAAGGATCCCCGCTCCGCTCACCGCCCGGAGGGAGCTAGGACTCCTTCCTCTTGAGCTCTTTCTTCTGCTCCAGCCTGCGGCGCCGATATTCCTCCTTCTTCCTTTTGTGCTCGCGCTCCTTCTGTTGCTTCCGCTCTTGCTCCGCGAGCCACCATGGAGGCGGCGGCCCCCAGCCCCCTTCCTCCGCGGGCATCACTTGCGCCTTGGGGAGCGCCTTCGCCCGCAGATCCTGCTCGCGCTGCCGATCCGCCGCCGGGATCGGAGGCGACATGGGTGGCTTGTCACCGCGGCGGGTACCCATCCTCACAGCAGTGGCAAACGAGCAGGAGAGAGGTGGGGGAGGGGCAGAATGGTGAAGATGACGAGCGAGGTGCCCGAATCGCCGCACCTGAGAATGGGATGCGGGAAACCCTAGCGGCAGATCTAGGGTTCCCTTCGGCACCCACAACCACCTATAAATAGGAGAGGGCGGCCACGCAGCCTCCTCCGTGCTGGGCCCGGGCCGAAGCGCAGGCGCACAGCAGGCCACCGGGCCAGGCGGGCCAGGCCCAAGCACTGAGGGGCGCCCCTGCACCCCCACTGGCAAAGAGACGGGCAGGACCGCCGGTGGGCCCCCCAGCCCACCTCCTGGTAGGCTGGGCCAATCTTCCTGGCCCAACAGAGAAACGGGCCCGTCCGTCGGCGCCCCGAAAACCCTAGCCAGGACCCGCGATTCCCCGTCACGGGCATCCCCGTCGTCGCCGTCGCTGACCCCTGTCTGCTCCGACGAGCTCGTCGGGACCGGAGGAGGCTCCGCCAACACCAGATCGCGGCGACCCACCTCCGGCAGGGCACACGAGCGGCCCTCAGGCCCAGCAATCACCCCCATCGGCGGACGCCAGATCCGCGGCGCCAGGCGGCGCCCGCCGTGCCCACCAGGCGCAAAGGCACGCCAGCGGCCGGCCATGAAGGAGCCCCCAAGATCCTCCGCACGGGCGACAAAGTCACCCACCGAGCACCCCGCACGGGGCCTCGGCGAACCTCCACCACCACCACTTACCTGGCTACTAACCTCATCGTCGTCGGCGTCGGAGTCGACCCCCTCCAACGCCCAGAACCTACTGCCGGAGATGGGCAGGGCGAGGGGCCGCCCCCTGGACAGCACGCACCATCGCGCGCGCCCCTCTGCTGGCCGCACCGCCGTCCAGCCATTCGCCTCCGCCGCGGGGCAGCGAGCGGAGTCGCCCGCGGAATCGCCCCCCGAGTCGCCAGACCAAAACGCCATCCCAGGGCTTTTCTTTTTTCCTGTTCAAGCCTTCAAGGTGGACTTCACCCATATATTCAAGTTGTACCATATGGTTTGAATGTACAGCGTTGAATCTGTGATCACCAAAAGCACGCGTTCATGCACCCCTAGTTGGCTAGTTGTTACCACGTCCAAAATCATGTTATACACCATACTTAAACACCATCCTGTAGAGTAGAGGAGAGCCTTCACCTCCACACTTCTGACTAACGGCAATGGTGTCACGACCCTCTTACTCGATTCAAGCAACCATGGCGATTACAGGCGGATCCCGCTAGGGTTTGAGAGGGAGAAAGGGGATCGGGAGGTAGCAGGAGAGGAGATAGAAGGAGAACAGAGAAGGGGACGAGTAGTGGGTTCAGTCTATTACAATTCCGTGCCTATCTCCACTCCCCCGTGGGCTACTTAACCGAACGCTTACAGTTCCCAGGTCGATGGGTCGAAGAGCTTGTTGGGCTTCTTTCTTCTCTTGAGCCGCCCGGTGGTACTGGTGGGCTCTGGACGGGATGCTGATGCAGTATCAGCCGTGACATCCCCCCTTTCCTCAGACGCGGCTTGACCCCAAACCGCAGCTCCTGGGAACCGGCTCCGGAGCTCGAAGAAGTCTTCCCACGACGCCAGCGCCTCTAGCTGAGACGACCACTTGATCAGCACTTGAGGAATCTTCGATTTGCCTTTTGTAATCAGGCGCCTAGCCAGCACCTTCTCGGGAAAGTCAGGAGGCGAGTACGGCAACGCAGGCTCCGGTAGTGACGAAACCGTTTCAGCGCCCGGTGGCAGTGCTCCCCTGAGTAGGGAAACATGGAACACCGGGTGGACTCGGCTCCCTTCCGGCAGTTGCAGGCGATATGCCACACTCCCAATGCGCGATGTAACCTGGAAAGGGCCAAAAAATTTGAAAGACAACGTGTGGTTAGCCCACGCTGCAACAGAGACCTGCACGTATGGCTGCAGCTTCACGAACACCCAGTCTCCCAACGAGAAGGATCTCTCTGATCTTTTTTGGTCCGCCTGGTCTTTCATTCATTGTCGGGACCTTTCCAGATGTTGTTTCAGCAAGGCTGTCATAACTTCCCTCTCCTGGTGCCAGCAGTTCAGATCGGCTGGAGCTGCCATCTAGGCATTCACAATCCCAAAATGGCGAGGAGGCCATAAAGTACCTCAAAAGGAGAAGCCTGCAGCGCGGAGTGTGGAGCTGTGTTGTACCAGAACTCAGCCAGGTGCAGCCACTGAAACCATCTATGCGGGCAGGAGTGTACAAAACATCGCAAGAAAGTATCCATACACTGGTTTACTCTCTCGGTGGTGCCATCTGTTTGTGGGTGGTACGCTGAAGACATTCATAACTCCGTCCCAGCTTGACGAAACAGCTCCTTCCACATGTTGCTTGTGAAGACCCGATCACGGTCCGAGACCATTGCGTGAGGAAGTCCGTGCAGTTTGTAAACGTGGGTCATAAACGTTGTAGCCACCTGAAGCGCTGAGAAGGGATGTGCCAAAGGAATAAAATGTGTGTACCGTGTCAACTTATCCACCACCACCATAATGCAAGAATAGCCCCGAGAGTTGGGTAAACCTTCCACAAAGTCGAGGGTGATGGTGTGCCAGGCATGTGGAGGAACTGGCAGGGGTTCCAGCAGTCCCGGGGTACAGATCGTTTCTGTCTTTGCTTGTTTGCAAGTGCCGCAGTTCAACACCCAAGTGACAACATCTTGCCTCATCCCTGGCCAAGCAAACAGTCGCCTTAGACGCTCATAGGTAGCATGAATTCCCGAGTGGCCCCGTTGCACTTGCGTGAATGGCTTGCAGTATCTTTTGTTGCATGGTTGCATTCAGCCCCACCCAGACTCTGCCTTTGTACAATATGACCCCGTCTTTCGCCTCATAATTTGAAGAGAGATCTCCTGCTGCACTGTGTTGCTGTAATATAGCCTTGGCTTTGTCATCGTTTTGATATCCTTTCACTACTTCCTCCAGCCATAGAGCGGTAGCTATGGTGATTGCTGTGATTTCCACATCTCTCCGGGATAGGGCGCCTGCCGCTGTGTTCTCAATTCCCTTGCGATACACCACTTTGTATTGCAACCCCATCAGCTTGGTGTAGGCGCGCCTTTGCCACGGGGTAACTAGCCGTTGGTCGCTGATATGAGCCAGAGCACTATGGTCAGTTCGAATGACAAACTCAGAATTTTGCAGATATGAGCGCCACTTCTCCACCGCCATGAGAATAGCCATGAACTCTTTTTCATAGGTGGACAGACCTCGATTCCGGGGACCCAAAGCTTTGCTGAGAAACGCCAATGGGTGTCCCTCCTGCATGAGCACCGCGCCCACCCCATGATCAGACGCATCCGTTTCGATCTCGAAAGGTTTGTCGAAGCGGGGCAAAGCCAGAACAGGAGCAGTGATAAGTGTTGTTTTCAAGTGTTGGAATGCTTCTTCAATTTCCTGAGCCCAAACAAACACTGCACCCTTCTTCAGCAAATTGGTCAGGGGACGACTGATGAGCCCAAAATTTCGGACGAACCTACGGTAATACCCAACCAACCCAAGAAACCCTCTGACCTGGCGCACCCTAGTTGGCGTCGGCCACTCCTTTACTGCTGTGATGTTCTTCTCATCAGTCGCAACTCCCTGAGCACTGATCACATGACCCAGGTAGGTCAGTTGTGGTTGAGCAAAAGTACACTTGGATAGCTTTACCTTAAGTTGATGTGCTTCCAGTCTCTCGAACACTTGCCGGAGGAGGCTGACATGCTCTGTTAGCGTAGCACTGTGGACAAGTATATCGTCGATGAACACGAGCACTCCATGCCTTATCAAATCAGCCAGTACATAATTCATGCCTCCTTGAAAAGTTCCCGGTGCCTCCGATAATCCATAAGGCATCACCCTGAATTCATAGTGGCCCAAGTGAGTCTTGAAGGCAGTTTTGAACACATCTTCAGATGCCACTCTGATTTGATGATACCCCGCCCTCAAATCCAGGGTGGTGGACCACTTTGAACCAGCCAATTCATCCAAAAGCTCCTCTATAACCGACATCGGGAACCTGTTCCTGACCGTGATAGCGTTCAACTGTCGGTAGTCGACGCAAAATCTCCACGACAAGTCTTTCTTCAGAACTAGCAGCACTGGCGAAGCGAACGGACTGTAGCTGGGTTGTATGATGCCCTGCTGCAACATCTCCTTTATCTGTCTTTCTATCTCATCTTTCTGAAAGGGATTGTACCGATAAGACTTGATGTTGACAGGCTAGGCTCCCGGTATTAAGGGGATCTTGTGGGCAAATGGCATGGATGGAGGTAAGCCTTTTGGTGCTTCAAACAAGGCCTGAAATTTGTCGATCAATTCAGCCATGGGTGGAGGCACACTTGCTACTGCTTGCCCCTTCTGCTTTCCATCCACTGCCTGCAGCTGAACCATTTGGTCTATGCCATTACATGCCACCAGGAAGTGAAGCTGGTCCAACGACACAGGATGGCACTCCTCGGTATGAGGCTGGATCCCACTCAAAGTGATTTTCTTCCCGTGGTGTACAAACGACATCAGTTAGCAAACAGTTCATCTGTCCAAGTACTTAGGCTCATGAGAAATAATCTTACTGGAGAACTCCCAAAGACTCTCTTCAACACTGCATCACTTGTTGCCATCTGCCTCCAACAGAACAGCCTCGTTGGTTCCATACCTCCTGTAACAGAACAGCCTCGTTGGTTCCATACCTCCCATATTAAATATCTCTATTTGAGGTCCAACTATCTTTCAGGAAAAATACCATCCTCACTGGGGAACCTTTCCTCCCTGCTTGAACTTCGACTTACAGATAATAATTTTGTTGGGAGCATACCAGAGAGCTTAGGTCATATTCAGCCACTACAGATATTGACCTTAAATATAAACAACTTATCTGGATCAGTTCCGCCGTCTCTCTTCAACATGTCGTCCCTGATATTTCTTGCCATGGCAAACAACTCCCTCGTAGGGAGACTACCCTTCAATATTGGCTACACACTACCAAATATTCAGGGCTTAATTCTATCAACAAATAACTTTAGTGGCTCAATCCCAACTTCTCTTCTCAAAGCCTATCATCTACGCAAGCTTTACTTGTACAATAATAGCTTTACTGGATTCATACCATCCTTCGGTTCATTGCCAAACTTAAAGGAACTAGATTTGTCATACAACAAGCTAAAAGCGGGCGATTGGGGCTTTATCTCTTCGCTCGCAAATTGCTCCAGATTGACTATCCTGATGTTGGATGGGAACAATCTCCAAGGGAATTTGCCAAGTTCTATTGGAAATCTTTCCAATAGTCTCCAGCAGATTTTTCTGAGAAACAACAAAATTTCGGGGCCTATACTGCCGGAGATTGGCAATCTTGAGGGCCTCAGTTGGTTGTACATGGATTACAATCTTTTCACTGGCAAAATACCGCCACAATTGGGAATTTATATAGCATGGTCTATCTATCCTTTGCTCAAAATTTGCTCTCGGGCGAAATACCAGATACTATTGGCAACCTTGTTCAGTTGAGTTCTCTAAAACTGGATGGGAACAACTTGACTGGAAAGATACCTGGAAGCATAGGGCGTTGTACTCAGCTCCAAAATCTCAACCTTGCTCACAATTCACTAGATGGCAGTATACCGAGGAACATATTCAAAATTTATTCGCTCACTGGAGAGTTGGACTTGTCACACAACTACTTATCTGGGGGCATGCCGGAGGAAGTTGGCAATCTCATTAATCTGAACAAACTTAGCATCTCAAATAACAGGTTGTCTGGCAATATCCCATCCACTCTCGGACAGTGTGTGGTTTTGGAGAATCTTGAAATGCAAAGTAACTTCTTTGTAGGAAGCATTCCACAGTCCTTTGTGAAGTTAGTTAGCATCAAATCCATGGATATTTCCCGTAACAGTTTGCACGGAAAAATCTCAGAATTCCTAGCAACTTTGAGTTCTCTGGAAAAACTCAATATATCCTTCAACAACTTTTATGGAGAGGTTCCAAAAGGTGGTGTATTTGACAACGTGGGTGCAATATCAATCCAAGGAAATGATTATTTGTGTACAAGTGTTCCAACAGGAGGCGTGTATCTTTGTTCTCCACAGGTGGACGACAAGAAACAGAAACACAACTTATTAGTTCTAGTCCTCAAGATAGTAATGCCAACTGTTGTCACTATAATAATTTTGTCCTGTATTGCGACAATTTATTGGAGGAAGAGAGTGCAAGGAAATACACATCTGCAAATAGTCAACGGGCATATAAAGAATATATCATACGAAGACATTGTTAGGGCAACCAATAAGTTCTCCTCTGCAAACTTAATTGGCTCGGGATCATTTGGAACGGTTTATAAGGGCACTCGGCAGTTCAAGAAAGATCAAGTTGCTATCAAGGTATTCAATCTTGACATCTATGGAGCACAAAGGAGTTTCATTCCAGAGTGTGAAGCCCTACGAAATGTCCGCCATCGGAATCTTGTAAAGATCATCACATCATGCTCTTCTGTGGATTCTACCAGGGAAGATTTCAAGGCCCTAGTATTCCAATACATGCCGAATGGGAATCTGGAAATCCGGCTAAAAATAAAGCCCTTGAACATGGTGAAAGAAATATTCTGACTTTAAGCCAAAGGATTAATATTAGTTTGGATGTGGCATTTGCTTTGGACTATCTCCACAACCACTGTGCACCTCCACTGATACATTGTGACTTGAAGCCAAGCAATATTCTGTTGGATAATGATATGGTTGCATATGTTACTGACTTTGGCCTAGCAAGATTTCTGTTCACTACATCAAATGCATACCAAGATAGTTCAGCAAGTTTGGCCTGCCTAAAAGGATCCATCGGATACATCCCACCAGGTGAGACTAAGCGTATTCACAACATGTAGGTTCAGTTTGTTCTTTATAGAGTCGTACAAATACTGCAGGTTCTCTAATTTTATTGTGCTTGTAAATGTAAATGCAGAGTATGGCATGGGCGAAAAGATATCAACCAAGGGTGAT